AGTAAGACAAGGGAAAAATTATTCATTTTATCATGGAGAATTTGAACTTTATATTTTTTTCATTGTAAGAAAGGAAACATGAAATTATTTTAATTTAGGACTATTTTGGTTAAATTAATGTAAGACTAATAAATTTTAAAATATACTTGCTAGTTCTCCAACTTAACAGAGTTCTTTGATGTTTTTAAATAAAAAGAAATGATGGCTTACTTTTTTAATACCATACAGGAAGTAAAAAGTACACCTGAGTGTATGTGTGTACATGTGGGGTATGTGTGTGGGGGGGTGTGTGGTTTGCCTTTTGATTTGTTTTTGAGACAGAGTCATTGTGTAGCCCTGGCTGGAGCTCACAGAATTCCTCCTGACTCTGCTTGCCAAGTCTTGTAGTTAAAGGTATGTGCCACAAGCATCCAGTTTTAAAAGTGCATCTTAATTATTCTATACTTTCAAATAAGTCATATTAGTATCATCTGTAGTCAAGTACCTGTGTGGTGCAGAGGAATAGAATTCTCTTGGCACTCTGCCATCCCTGTTCTTTGATGGACATAGCAACTGGGAAAAGGCTTCATTCACTAGGTTACACTTTGAAATAAGTGGCCAATCATTATTTATTCATTTTGCACTCTTTGTAATGGCATAAATCATAATAAATTCATTTGGTTTAATGTGTATATAATATACTTTCCCCCAGGAATTTCCCTGTAATTGAGCTATTAATTAAAGTATTTTAAGAATATGCCCCTTTGTCCCCTCTCTGCACTTAGACCCAGGGAGAGTTAGCGACTGTTTCTTCATCCAGGATTCTAAGGCCACCGAGCAAGGTTGTTGTGACTAGGACTGTGGCCTGGTGTAGGAGTGAGCAGAGCCCGATCCTTTATGCTGGCAGCTTTGCATTGTCTCCGAGGGCGTGTAAAACAATTCTCTGAAGGCCTGTGGTCTTTTAAACCAGTAAGAAAAGGTCGTTTAATGTTCTCTTGTTAAAATATGGTTTGATGCTGACTTCTGTTTTAATTTCTAATTCTTATTTTTTTTCTAGCTAATATTTTCCCACCAGTATTAGTTGTCATCAAACCAAAGCTTCTGCCTTGAAATCCAGAGTAGCTCTGAACTTGCTGCTTCCTCCTGTCTCTTACACCATCTACACTATCCTCCCTTTGGTCTGCAGCCTGTAGTTCTCTGCTGTCCCTTTCTGACACAGTGCTGGCTGCCAGATGACTTAGGACAGTGAGGTCTAGACACAGCTTCCATAGCCACAGGAGTCCTTGGAGGTCTTCTGGTTCCAAATAAGAAAGGGTGGTGAATCTCAGGCAAAAATTACAATGGAAGGAAAGGTTGGGTCAAATGTCACCCATTTTATATTCTTATAAGGATCTTCTCTTGTTTAGTGATAGTCTACAGGAACAAATTGGGTAAAGTAGTACTGTGTAGTTTAAGTTTGTGTCTTGATAGGATCTGATCCATTGGGTGTGGAAATCACTATATAGAGAAATGAATATCTGGAGAAACTGAGGTGCTGTGCTATCATGTATAGCAGGCAGGTGACTGTGTCCTCCATGACCCAAACAAGCATGCTTTTCTACATGCCTCTTGTATTTGTGGTACACTGTAAAGAATGGAAGGTCTCACTACAAGGCTCAGCCAGTGGGAAAAAGGGAAATAGTATAGATGTTATTGAAAAGGAATGATAAAAACATGATGCCCATAGGCATCTATAACTATAGATAATGAAGTTTTTTCATGTAGTATTAAGTATATATAACATTCCTTAATAAATTGAGTCTATGCTTTATAATAAATACATGCTCCAAAATACAAATTCATTAAGTATTTTTGTAATGTCATTATAGTACATATGCGTTTATGTGCCTGTGTTCTAAGATTTCTATATTTATTTTTGAAAAGCCATTGTAACTAGCCACATACTACAAAAATACTAAGAACTGTTGGGATTTTTTGGTTTTTGTTTTTTCTTGCCAGTTTATGATTGAGTAGTATTCCTCGTGCAGTCCTGACCTCTTAACCTCACCTCCACTTCGCTGCCTCTGTCTCAGCCTTTCTCTTGTTTCAGTGTTTATCTGTTAGAGCAGAGTGTATTTTCTTGCACTGTTGCTCTTTTATAACTCTTTTTAAAAACCAGTAAGATTAAAGTTGATATCTTTCAAAAATAAAAAATGAGGTAAAATAACATTAAAATATTAGCTATTGATATTACTGTTGGCTGCAGGTTAACAGAATTTTCTCAACAGCCAGAGGCTCGAAGTTAATTGTGGTTTATCCAGTGCTAGACTTCTATCCATTCTTCCTTCATTCTGTTCTTGTGGGTTCTGTGTCTGTCTGCGCTTGGCAGAGTGTTTGTACACTTGGATATACAGTGGTAACGACAACAAGCTAATGGGGAATTCTCTCTATAGAGCTGCCACCATCTCTACCCCTCACTCAGCTTACAGGTAGGGAAACTAAGACATCCATCATTTGACCTTGACTGTGGCTCTAGACTGCAAAATATGATGCAGAATTTCAGTCTGTGCTGAGTGGAGGGAGAGCTCCTTGGTGAGTTCAGAGCCAGTGGCCAAGAGCTGGGCTTAGTATTTTTGAGTTATACAGAGACATTTCTTTTTAGTTCTTTATATCTAATCTCTCAAAGTAGCTAGGTTTTGCAATGTTTTAAACACTATTTACCAGTAAAATTTCTAAAATTACAGTATTTGAGGAAATTAAGAACTGTTTCAAAATTTTTTCTTTTGTCTGATACAAACATTAGAAAATGCTGTTGCATACATAATTTTATTTAAAATTTCATCAAAAGTGTAAGAAAGTAGTAAGTATTCTCTTCCGTTTACTCAGCTTTCTTCTGGATACTTACACTATAGTTTGTAATTTTTCTCATTTTACCTTAGATGGGAACTGGACCATGGGCTAGGACAGGCTTGTAGGTGATTCTTGGAAACCAGGACTGGTTGACTATACTGCATACATACAGCACAAAGCGGTTCTTGGTATTTTCCAAAGCCACACTTGTGAATGAAGCCCTGTGCTAAGCCTATGGCAGAGAAGGAAGTATGTTTTACAGTTTCATATGACCAAGGGAATGTTGAGTATTTACAAGGCTGAAATTTTAATGAATAAAATTACCATTAAAAAGAAAACAGATAGATGTCTGGGCTGAAGACCTGAGATCAGAGATGTGACTCAACTACTAAGACAATGTACAGCTTTTGCAGAGGGCCTACACAGGAGTCGAACTGGAATCCCAGCTCTACAAGGAAGGACTTACACCTTCCTTTAACTCCAGCTCCAGGGATCCAATGCCCTATTCTGACTTCCAGGAGACCACACCTACACACATACTTTAAAAAAAAAAAACAACAACCTAAATCGTAGATAGAATAAGTTCCAGAGGGTGGTATGTTTATTAATATCCTCAACTCTAATTACTGTCTTACATGGATGAGGCTAGTGTATGGTTCAGTGGCAGAATCTGTGTTTAGCATAAGTGAAGCCTGTCTTCAGTCTCTAGCACCATAAGATGAGTGCAGGAGAGGAAGGAAGAGTGAGAAGAGGACGGGAGAAAGAAAAAGAAAGAATTTCATTCTACTGTAAGCAGGGAAGAGTGGCAGAAAGAACTCCATACATACATGACTGTGTAAGCAAAGCCATGCAGAGCTCTATGTAATCCCCAAATCTTGTTGTGTTTTTGTTTGTGTGGAATGCTTTCTTCTGTTTACCTCCACCTCTGATCAGCAAATTCCTACTTAGAATTCCTGTAGTCTTTACAAAGGCATTGATGCCGCTCTTTCTGGTTAACAGTAGATTCCTGTAGTCCTTACAAACGCATTGATGCTGTTATTTCGAGTTAACAGTAGAGTCATCAGCATCTTTACTGACCAACATGTCTTGAAGTCAAAGGGTTAATTCAGTAAACCTTTGAGGGATCTGAGATTTACATACCCTGGTTTGAATAGTCCTCTGAGAAAGAGGTGGAATTTTGTCATCTATATGTCTTTGTAATTCCAAGACAGCTCATCAAATGGAAGCAAATAGTTTCTTATTAATAGACTTAAAATTTATGTGTGAAGATGACCATTTCTCTACTTCACTTTTGATGCCATCCACATGGATTGCCAGATCTGTGCAATTTGCCCTAGCAGGATGGTTGGAATCTTGAACTACCAAAGGTCACTGAGCGAAATGGTATAAAGGCGGAGGTGCTCCGGGGACCCTGTGTGTGCTGGTCACTCCAGGCATGGAAAGAGCAGACGCTGTGATGGGCCACTATAAGGACCAGAGTCTTTGGAGAAACCCTTGCTGGTTTCCCCTTCCTGCCATTTTATTCATGGTTCCTTTCCTAGTTTCATGAGCAACCCCCATACCCCTAGAAGCGTGTATAAAAATCAAATGGAAGGCTTGGACATGAGAGTAAATATGATATTTGATTTTCTTCACTTGAGTTACTTCATGTAACATGCTTTCTATTTCTATCTTCCTGCAAATGTCATAGTTTCATTTTTCTTTATAAGTAAAATTACATTGCATGTATGCACCAAATTCTGTTTATTAATTTGTTCCAACAGATTCTTAAGAGGTTCTATGACTAAGAAGTTCAGAACCACTTATTGTACAGAACTCATCCATAGACTCAGACTTAAAGAACAGTTCTTTTCACCTCCATTTCAAGGCATTCTACTCAATAATGGACTATTTAAGGAAAATTGTTAAGATCCTACATTACATTATTTGAACCAGCTTTTTTATTTGTGATACTGAGATGAAGGTAGCACTGTAGGGGGGCTAGGCTACTCATGTTTTAATGTAGAAATGTGTATTTGTATAGAACTATTATGTAACTAAGCACTGAAGAATATACTATAAAACATTGTAACCTAACTTTTCTCTTGACAATATGGGACCAAATAAATTACAAGTTCCCCCTTTTTGGGGAAAAACTTGAAGTATAGTTACATTTTCAAAGTGTACTTAACATTCGGATTTCTATTTTTCAGGCAAGGCACTGACATTTCTTCTGCTACAGCCACCAAGTCCCAAACTTCCTCTTCATAGCACCATCCGGAGAACTGCCATTGACCTGATTGGGCGAGGGTTCACTGTGTGGGAGCCTTACATGGACGTGTCCGCTGTCCTGATGGGGCTGCTGGAGCTCTGCGCAGATGCTGAGAAACAACTTGCCAAGTATGTGCAGGTTCCGGTGGGTTAGTGCATTGTTGTTGGAAGAAGTTATCAGAGGTGTTGGTTATCCTCTAGAAACTCGGTATGTGCCGGACAATGGTGGCACACACCTTTAATCCCAGCACTTGGGAAGCAGAGGCACACAGATTTTTGAGTTTGTGTCCAGCCTGATCTACAGAGTGAGTTCCAAGACAGCCAGGGCTACACAGAGAAATCCTGTCTCAAAAAAAAAAACAAAAAAGAAAAAAACAACAACAACAAAAGAAACTCGATGTGTTTTACTAGCAGTAAGTCTACTGGACATGATGGCCAAGCTTCTAGCCACAACTCAGGATGCCAAGGCAGGAGGATTGTTGTAAGTTTAAAGCCTACCAGGGCTATACCATGATACCCTGTCTCAAAAACAAAAAACAATACAAAACTCAAAAGAAAATTGAGAGGTAGCCTTGAGACAGTGAATGATCTGTGATATAAATTTCAAATTGTATTTATTACACCTCGAGACATTACTGATAAATAATTGTGTAAATGGACTGTTTATAAGGAAAGTGATGTACATACTTGGTACTAGATCTAAAATGTTTTACTAATAGAAGACAGCTAGAAAACTTGGAGAATTGCTCTCTATATTCCTGTTAATTTTAAAATTAACTTTATTGGGGTTTCTTTTGCATATAGTCAGTGACAGGTTAAGTGAAGATTGTAGTTGGGATAGTGGGATGACTCAGCAGGCAGAGGTAGCTGCCACCAAGCCTGACTGATGACCTAAGTTCAATCCCTGGGCCCCACATGGTGGAAGAAAAGAACCAACTCCTGCAAGTTGTCCTCTGACCTCCACTGATGCACTGGTACATGTGAGTGCATGTGTGTGCACATGTACACACACACATGCGTGCACACACAAACAGTAAATTAAATGCATTACATTTTAAATACACTATAATCTTCATTATAAAAATAAAGAATGAGTTACTAGCCTGACATAAGTGGACACATCTTTGTGAACTGGCAAGGAGTCGTGGTACTACAGATGGATGTCTTAAACCCAGTCTCCTGGTTCCAGAAAACCTTGCCTCACTTGGGTGTATTATACAAGTGGCCTACAATTGGTGATTATTGCCATAAGTAAACTGACAGTGCACAGCCATCCCAGCCTCCTAGTTCCCAGTAGTGCTAAGCCCAGGTAGACACCCCGGTCTGTTAAGCTTCTTTCTCTTCATCCCTCTTACACAGTCCATCCCTGTTGTAGCGTGCTTCACTGTGCTACTTTGGATTTTAGCTGAATTCCATCCCACTTTTGGTGATGATGTCTTGTGTATCTGTTGATGTGTGTTTATGTGAGAACTCGTTTTCATTACAAAGTGGGATTACTAGGACATAGGATAGTTCCGTGTTTAAGAGTTCCAGGAGCTGCTGCACAGTTTTTCATGGTTTCACACTTTCTCATTCCTGCCAGCACTGTACACACAAGGTTTCCACTTCTCTTTCTACATTTTAAACTGTCTCATCCTAGTGACTATGCAGTGATAGAAAGTCCTATCTGTCTCATCATGCCTCTCTGGGAAAATGAATGCCCTGCCAGTGTTGTCATGGTTGACTTTGTAGGAAACTAAAGTGAACTGCTCTTGGCTTCACAGCTGCTTTCCCTTATGTCACTGTCCCTCCAGTTACAGCATGGTGGGGGCCTGCTGTCCTTCTGCTAGAGTACAGTGCCATGGCTTTGTCTACAGATTAGCTGCCCATTGCCCAGTGCCCTCTCATTAACTGGAGGGAGGGGGTGTTTAGTGCAAGCCTAGCCAGCAGCTTTCCTCTCGTACCTCTGGGCACACCTCCATGTGTTCTAATCTCACCTCTAAGTCTCCCTCACTACTTGATTGAAAAATAATGTATTTGTTTCAGAAGGTTGATGCTAGGTGAGTTTATGTTCACAAAGAACTTAGAGAAGCAGTTAGTACATCTTAAGTGTTTTAACTTGTTTCTTGGTTAGTATGATAAAACACTGTCTAAAACCTTTAGCTTCCTGCTGGCTTGCTGTTATGTGCCCAAAGGAGACCACAGCACAGGCTGCTGCTCCTGAAGCCCTCTTGGTTTGTCTTGAGAAGTATGCAATAGCTTAATATCTAAAAATATGGTTTGTTTTCAAATCTGATCAAACACAATTCTACAAGTTTTTATACATATGTTTTTGTTATCTGGAAGGTTTCATTTTAGTTCTAGCATTTACAATTTTTTAAAAAATAAGTTTATATCAAAATTATATCACCAAAGTAAACATATATGTATGCATATGTGTGTGAATATGAATATATATATATATATATATATATATATATGCTCTATGTACAGATGTACAGACAATATATCAAGAGACATAAATTCTATAGTTTTCAGTAGGTAATTTAAATCTTGCTATTATATTCTTTCTGTCACTAAGATTAGTATGACTTTCTCTACACAGCTCTGAATAAATGAATGTATCAGCATGTAGCCTTGAGGAGTCTGATGTACTTTTCATCATGATAAATTGCATAATAAGCAAGAAAATGTTTGCTTATTAATCTCTAACAAGATTTAGATTGAAAATGGCCTGTTACATACGTGGCCCAGTTAGTCCAGGCCGGAGTACTGAGGTGGGGGAAGCAGAAGCGGAGCAGCAGGGTACCCGCAGCTTAAGGGAAACTCTCACCCGCCCCACCCTGCATGCAGGCTGAGGCTGACTTACTGTGCCTTCCTTCTGTCCATAGTGCCAAGCTTGCCATGTGAACGTGGTTTTATATTGGACAAGTGCTTAAAATTTTAGTTAATATTTCTGGAAAGAAATCTTCTAAGATTATGAGGGCAGGCCTGGCAGGGGGAACAGGCAACTCAGGCCTTGTTCTGAAGAATACACATCACAGAGGAGTGTTCCCTCCATTTCTTTCAAGTACTGACATTCCCTGTCAGAATTGACTTCTGAGTTTTTCCACAACACTGTAGGTGCTTCGAGGTCACTAGATTGTTTTCCCAGAGTTCACGACACCTTACTCTAGAATTCTGACTCACCGCTTCTCTCTGGCCTGGCAGCAGCACTTGTTTTCCGGTGTTTTTGGATATTTTGCTGATGGGGAGGGGCGGCTATTACCTAACATCAGTTATTTCTAGTTTCCAGCAGACTCATTCGAAGGTCCTACCTCCTGATGTCTGGGACTCTGAGGAGGTGGGAGTGGTAAAGGGGTGGACAGGCCTGACGGGATGAGTTAGCAGGAGAAGGAAGGTGTGCCTGGATTTTCACATCAAAATATTGTGTGAAGAAGAGCAATGGTGCCCAGCAGAACAGCCACAAGTCAGGCACTGGCATGTCTTTAAGCAGAGCCTCAGTGAAAGTCTGCCTCACTCTGACCAATCAACATCATGCAAACGGATTCACCACTCAAAACCACAGTGGCTCCCTGCCAGTTGTCTTTGGGAAGTGGAATGAAGGGTAGGCACAAGACTGGTTTAAGCTTTTCCTTTAGAAACAGGTTGTAACAAGAAGCTCCTTGCTGTACCACCTACTGTGTAGTGTATATAATGTATGTGTAGGTGGTGTTGATACTGGGGAAACTGGAATCCACCTCTTAGAACTCTTAGTGTAACTAATAAATAATTTAGGAATGGAGTCAAGTGGAAGCTCAAGGACAATTTTATTAGAGTCTGAAAGAGAACCCCCATGGCAGGCAAGCTACAAATTTCTGCAGCTTCCTGGAGGAGAATTGGGTGTGGGGGTGTGGGGGTGTCATGCTGTTTAAGCTGGCATGAAGGTCAGACACGTGACAGACAAGCACTAAATGATTGGGAGGGAGCTTTAGGGAAATAGTAAGCAAGCCGAAAATGTTTGGGAGTCCCAATTTGTTAAGGAATGCCTGCTTAGAAAAGCCACAGAAGGGAAGAAAGGGGAAATGCAGTCTTCTGAGTAGTTCAGGAGAGTGGGCAGATCTACAAAGCTGCATGGCTCCCAACAGTGAGCTGCTGTTCTAGGGTAGGGGGTTCTGGGAAGGAAAATTCCGACATTCCTTTAAAGGATGTATTGCAGCTGTCTCTTTACTGTGGCTTAATGTCTTCCTCTTAGCTAAGTGTTTGACCTGGCAAAGCTGGAGCATTAGATCCCAGGCCAGAGAGTCTGTTGTCTTACAAGAATGAGAGTTTTTCTTAGTGGACATTTATTGTTTACTCTAACACCCGCTCCCTTGAAGAGGTACCCCTAAAGTCATTTAGGAACTAAATTAGAGATCAGAGCCCCCCCAAGCCTCTGCCATCTCTGGCTATGATGAGGCAGTCAAGGGGCTCAAGGACATTTTTGGGCTTTTATTTGCTTACTCTACCAGTATGCAGTGTTACTCAGGGTGGACTGCTGTGCTTTCATTTAGGTATATAGAAGCCCTAAGCAATAAACATTGTTTCCCCCATTTTACAAGTCCGCACACCAAGATAGTATATGAATCTGAGAAAGACACCATCACTTGTTTTCTAGATGGTAAAAAATTACTGGGTTTAATTTCAGATCTAGCTGATTCCAAAAGCTAAAGCTAATGCTAAAGACGATTCAAAATTTTAATACCTGCAAAATTAAAGGCATCTTAAATAAAGATTACAAAAATGGTAAGAGCAGAATTTTAAATATACTTTTGGATTTTATATTTAATGAAATTTTCATTAAGGTTCTTATACCTTATAGAAATTTAAATTTTTGTTTAAATATTAGTTAATTTTTTTTTAAATATACAACACTTCACTTTTTTGTTTGTTTTTGCCAACCTTAAACAGGAGCCATCCAAATCTTTTCTTTGTGGATCCAGTTTTAGTATATATGCTACCAAAGCGAGCACTCATTAGTGTATTGGTAGACAGTGATGGTACCAGTAAACTTTTAATAAAACCATACTTTATATATGACAGTCTCCATCAGCTGCATCTGGCCCAGTACATTCAATAAGCTAGCTAATTTCTATATATTAATCGTAAAGAGAGATAGGTGACTTGTCGAAGGACTGGGCCCACCTCTTGGGACTGTCAGCTCCCATGCTCAGCCCCAATACTTAAGGTGTATGCTGTGTGCTTGGTAAGTGAGCCACAGGCAGCATCTTTTATGAGGATATTTTTAAATGAATGAGAATCGTATGCTTATTCAGTGTGAACTATACTTTAACATTGAGGCTGTGCTTTCCTGAAATAACTGACGAGCCACCTAGTTAATTGTAATATAAATTAGAGGCACACAGTGTTTTGTGTTGAGAACTCCTTGTTTTCAAAGATCTCTGTGGGTCTGTACACAATGATAAAGTGTTAGAAATGGTGCATAAATTCTACTTTATAGACAAGCAGAAAACTCCTGTGCTCCTAGAAGACTAGACTCCTGCTTAGCTTGGTGTGACCTGTGATTTGGATTCTATTTGCCTAGGTCACGGTATAGGGCCTTTATTGTGAAAGAACAGTGGAGCGGAGCCCAGCTGCTGAGGGGGCCATGCTCATCATGTGCTGGACAGCTGAGGACATGAGCGGATTACAGAAAGCCTATTGCTTTTAGGATATTGTCACAGCTTACCAATCACAGACAGGAAAACAGAGCTACTGGAAGCCATGAACCTTTGGTATACAGAGAAGCACCATACATTGCAAAGGTTCCTATAGAGTTATAGAGGAAATAGAAATTAGGTAGGCAGTTTAGGATAAAGACTTCCAAGAAAGGTAACCGTTGTCCTTGAGCCCCTTGACTGCCTCATCATAGCTAGAGATGCAGAAGCTTGGGGGACTCTGATCTCTAATTTAATTCCTAAAGGTTCTATAGAGTTAGAGAGAAGAATTTAGTAGTTTAACTCAAACTTAACCATTTCTGTTAAGTTTGAGGGATAGAAAGAAACACACTAAAAATGCAAACATGCTTTAGAAATCTATACTGGACAGTGTTTCTGTTCTGAAAAATTAATTTATAAGGTTAATAATTAATAATAAGGGTTAGCATAGTTTTTTATTTTCTATAAATATATGCAGCTAACATGTTTGGAAGAGTAAGAAAATTTTCCATCTTCCAGCTTTGGAAAGGAATTCTGCTTTGAGTTTTAAAACAAAGCTCTAGGCATTGGTGGAATGGCTCAGTATGTACTTGCTGACCAGTGATGCAAGCCAGGTGCATCCTCAGAAACGAAGTAAAATTAGAAGGGAAGAAGCAACTCCAGAGCTGTCCTGTGACTTCCACGACATGTCATAGCATGCATACATACACACTAATAAGAAGGAGAAGAAGGAAAAGGAGAAGAAGAATGTAAAATATTTTTAAAAGTGAAGTTTCAACTTAACACAGAGGAGCTGCATATTCTTTATGAACTTGTAAACAAGTATTAACACACTAGTGTTCCTAGGAAAGTGTAGGCTGGAAGTCCTGGATGTTACGTAATTAAGTACGTACCTAAAACAATGTTAGCTTTCTTTGTTTTGATGGCAACTGTTTTCAAAGCCTTGTTACTGATCACTAAGATTTGTAGGTTATTTGCAGAAATATTAAGGTTTTCTCCTAGAATGTATCCATGCAGTATTTCTTAATTTGACAGTGGTTGACATCTGGATCTGTGGAGTAAGATGGTGAGTCAGGTGCACATAAACCAAAGGATGCTATAGCTGAGCCATGTTTTTAGATCTATTTTTAGCTTTCTGAGAATTTTCTGTACTGATTTCCTGAGGCTGTACCATGTTGCATCTGCACTAACAGAGAATATAGTGCCTTTTCCCACATCTTCACCAGCACTAGTTGTCAGTTGAGTTTTTACTCTTCGACTTCTGACTAGGGTAAGATGAAATCTCAAAGTAGTTTTAATCTTCATTTAGAACTGGTTATTAAGGATGTTGAACAATTATGTAGATACTTCGTACCCATTTTCATTTCTTACTTTAAGAATTCTTAAGGGTAAGCAGTACAACGGGACTATGCAATAGGGCTTTTTGTAGGCACAGTTCGACCTCCCCATGGTCAATGAATTGTGTAGGTATTCTCTTCTTCAGTGGGGCCTTACTATCAGTGTCTGGAGAAAAACTTACTGTCTTGGCAACTGCCAAGGCTATTTGGGGATTTCCCATAGGACTGCTTTGGCCAACAACTAAATTAGATGTAATGCAGTCCTGGGACTGGAAGCATCACTTGGTGACAAGATGTCCAGTTGGGGCTCTGTCTCCTCCATTACTTGGCAATTTTATTTAGATCATGCACACACAGACACACACAGACACACACACACACATACACACACACACACGCTTCTACTATATTAGGTTTTCATTCTAACCCTCAAACAGTTCTTAGTTTTAGCATCTCCATATATCCTCCCTTGTCACCCTCTTTGCTTTCCCTGTCCACTTGATTCTCCCATTCTAGCTCCCTATCATCCATCCCATAACTATCTCTTCTATTTCCCTTTTCAAAGGAGATATAGCTGTGTGCCCCACCCCACTCTCCCTACACTATACCTGACTTCTGTGGTTTTATAGATTATAGCTTGGTATCATTGATTTAACAGTTACTATATCTACATATATGCAAACACTGTATTTGTGTTTCAGGGTTTGGGTTACTTCACTCAAGACTATTTTTTTCCTGTCTTATCCTTTTACCTGGAAATTTCATTTTTTTAAATAGTTGAGTAATACTCCTTTGTATAAGCATATTCTTTATAAACATTTTCTTTATCCATTCTTCTGCTGAGAGACATCTAGGTTGTTTCCAATTTCTAGCTATTATAAGTAGAGCAGCAGTGAACATGGCTGAGCAAGGGTCTATGTGAAAGGATAAAGTATGTCCAGTTGGGGCTCTGCCTCCCTCATTCCTTGGGTATATGCCCAAGAGAGATGTAGGTGAATCTTTATGTAGACTGAATCCTATCTTCCTGAGGAACAGCCACATTGATTTTCATAGTTGATGTACGCGTTTGCATTCCCACCCACAGTGAAAGAGTGTTCCCTTACTCCAAATTCTTGTCCCCATCCTGTCACTTGTATTACTGATCTGAGCCTTTCTGACAGGTGTAAGATAAAATCTTGGAATAGTTTTGCTTTCCATTCCTTGATAGCTAAGGAAGGATGCTGAACATTTCTTTAAGTTTTTCTCAGCCATTTGAGTTTCCTCTTTTGAGAATTCTGTTTAGATTTGTACCCCATTTTAAATTGGGTATTTATTTTTTTGATATCTAGTTTTTTGAATACTTTATATATGTTTGATACTAGCTCTTTATCAGATATGTATTTGGTAAAAATATTTTCCTATTTTGAAGGCTGCCACTTTGTCTGAATGACATGTCCTTTGCTGTACAGAAGCTTTTCAGTTTCATGAGATTTCATTTATTAATTGTTGATCTTATTGCCTGTGTTAACAGTATTCTGTTCAGAATGTCTTTTCTGTGCCGATGAGTTCAAGGTTATTTCCTAGTTTCTCTTCTATCAGGTTTAGTATGTCTGGTTTTTCTTTTTTGCTTTCACTATTTTGATTGTCTTTTGTTTTACTATCTGTTAAAACCATGCAAACAGATTTGTGGGTGGGCTGATGTCCCTGTTGCTCCACTGGGCTTCATATCTGGCCACAGGAGTCAGCCTCCTGAGGTTCCATATCCCCAGTGTAGTGAGTCAAGCTAAGAATGCCCCCACTGATTCTTGGGTGCCTCCTCTGTCCCAGGTCTCAGTGTCTTCCACGAGATGCCCTCTACCTCCCCTCCTCATGCCCTGTCAGTTGCAGATTCCCATTCATTCTCATAGCCATCTGACCATCCCCACATCCAACCCTGAAATCCCCCACTTATCATCCTGATCCCCTCTCCACTCAGTTCCCTCACTCCATTGCCTTTGACGACCATTCCATTCCCCCTGCTGGGTAAGTCTCAAACATCCTTGTTTGTGCCCTCCCTCTGGTTTTATGTTAAGTTACATGTGGAGTTGAGGTGTACAGAGTGCTAAGTATGCATGTATCTGCATTCTTCTGCATGCAGCCATGTAGTTTGACCAACACTGTTTGCTGTAGATGTTCTCTTTTTCCTAGTGGATATTTCTGGCTTCCTCAATAAGTAGTTGTCCAAGGGGCATGTGGAGTTATGTCTAAATCTTCAATTCTTTTCGGTTTACTGTGGTATTTGTTTTATTTCTGTAGCTCTTTAGTACAGTTTGAGGTTGAGGATAGTGATGATGAAAAGACAAGAGCTGAAAATTCGTGTTGGAGGCTATGAAGGGTCTAAGAGTTTAAGAGACTTCACACTCAGAGCAAAGAGTCAGAGCCTTTCTCCTCCCCAGAAGTGAGGTGGATCCACTGGAGGCATTTAGGTTAGGAGTTCATGAAATGGAGTTGATGACTTGGAAAGATTTCTCTGATGGTAGTGCAGTGTCTTGACTAGAGGACATAACTTCTTCATTATGCTCTGGGAACTTGCAGCTTTTTAACAAGGTGGCTGATCCCAAGGCAGTGACAGAGCCCTGATTCCCAAGCAGTGAGCCTGACTACACTCTGTCATCCTGCCTCAACCTTTAAGTTACTGCTGGAGAGACTTGCACACATGTGCACATCAGCTCCTCCTAAATGATCACTATCCACCAAACCCAAGGGCAGTGTGAAAATGGTTGATTCGCTTTCTTTTCCATTGTCTATGGCTTCTCTTCAGACCGTGCCCTTTACCAAATCTTAATGGTGTTCTTACTGTAATAGCTTTGGTAATTCTCCCAAATGTACATGGCCTTTTGCTGATGTGAATGAAGGCTAGTATATGACCAGGCCTTTGATTTGAAGTTAGTGACCGATTTATATACCCTTTGCTTTCTTTCACTTTATAACTGCATAGTATTGGTCATTACAAGAAGCATTTATTGCCCACATACAGCTCTGTCTCCTCTTCCTTCCTTTTCTTTCTTCCACTCTTTCCTTTCCAACTAATAATTTCTCCCTCATGCAAAGAACTAAGACAAGGCAAAAGGCTTCTGCTCTGCTAGAAGCCAGCCAGCCCCAGCAATCCTGCTTGAAGCTTGTGTTACAGGTATTTACTCTGACTCAAGGTTTTGGGATCCAAATTCTGGTCCTCATGATTGCAGCACAAGCCTTTTTAACTGCTGAGTGGTCCCTCCAGCCCCAAGACTTCTAATTTAGCTGAATTCCATCTTTTGAAGAACTTTATGAATCCTAGTTCTGTCTCTTACTATGTATGATTAATCTCCTTTAAAGTATTATGGTCAACACAACAGATAGGTGTACCCTGATCTTCATTTAAACCACTCCTGGCATTGAATAAAACAACTGAAACCCAAGTATCTCAGTATATCCCTACAAACTTCTCTAAGCAGTTTAGCCACTCAGCTAAGGCCATTTGGTCATGTTACCAATTCATTAACCTAGTTCACCAGTGTCTTTACTTTGTACAAAGGTCAGTGATTCTGAAAGACAGTAATCTCCCTTAACTATAGGGACACATTCCAAGACTCTGAGTTGATTCACAAAACCATGGTAATCCCAAACCTTTTATATGCAATATTTTCTTTTACATATAGACCTGTGATACAGCTAAACTTTTAAATTATGTATTGTAAGATAATTAGGAATAACAATAAAACTGAATAATCATAACGACACAGCATAATAAAAGCTATGTGAGTATTGGTTCCCCCACCAAATATTAAATTGTACTATATATTTCCTGGTTGTTTTTCTCTGAGTGGGTGTGTGGTACCTGTGTGAAGAGACAAGTAAGATGTACTGTGTAAGCATTGTGATGCAGTGTTATATTAACAGAGGGCTGCCTGCACAGACACTGCTAATACCTTCACAGTGTACTAGCAAAGGTATCGGCAAGGACAGTGTATACTTACTGTGTACTCAGGACAGAGACATGATTCACTTACCCAGTGATCCACAGCATAAGATTCCATCACACAACACAGTTCCATGCAGTTCAAAAATTTATTCATGCCGGGCGGTGGTGGCGCACGCCTTTAATCCCAGCACTTGGGAGGCAGAGGCAGGCGGATTTCTGTGTCTGAGAGTTCGAGGCTAGCCTGGTCTACAGAGTGAGTTCCAGGACAGCCAGGGCTACACAGAGAAACCCTGTCTCGAAAAAACCAAAAAAAAAAAAAAAATTATTCATTATTGCTGATATTTTTCCATTTAATTTTTTTTAGGAAACCTGGGTAGCAAATATGAACGAACCATGGTGCACCAGTACCTTAGCTCCTCACTTAACATTCTTTGAGCTGATTTTTCATTTGTGAAATTTCTTTATTGCCAATGGGAATGTTGGGCACATAGACCAAAAGTAAGCCCAGCTTTCACTCCAGAGCCTAGGCTACGTCTAGTTCCTTCCTTCTGTATTGAGCTTTGCCAGCGTGGGATGGATTCCCCCAGGAAACTGATGTGCCTTTCCCCTACAGACTGGTTTTACAAAAGTTGATTTAGGTTTGTTCAGAATTAGTTTACATACATTCCCCTGCTTTCAATACCCTTGTCCCCTAGTCATATACTTTGATGAAAATAAAGTACAAGGTATCTAAAGTGTTTAACTAGTTTGGGGGGCTTTTAAAGAAATTGACCTAAAATATAGATATGTAATATAAATTTACCAATAATTATTAAACAATCCACTCCGAAGCTCCACCACTGGTCAGGTAGTGAATGTTGCCTTGCTGTATCTGAAATGGTAAAGTTTAACACAGGAGGGAGCCTGGCTGGCTGTCCATCCTGCATACCATTCTTTCCACCTGTACTGGGCCAACCCAGGAGCACCAGGTCATGCAGCCCACACCTTCTGTGTGTATTTGATTCAGGATATAGATTTACTCTCAAAGCCCACTTTTTAATTTATTTTATTTTTAAATATCAAAGAAAGCCTCTGTGTACTCTTCTCATCTGAGTCCCTACTTTGTAGCTACCCTCAGTTTGGAAAAAGCCTGGAGAAAGCTCTATATTGTCAAATTTATAAGCCGTGGTTCAATCATCCGAATGTTGTGACCCTTTAATGCAGTTCCTCATATGTGGTAACCCCAACCATAAAGTTATTCCATTGCTACTTCATACCTATAATTTTGCTATACATAAAAATCTTCCTACACATATAAATATCTGATATGCAGGATATCCGATATGTGTCCACTGTGAAAGGGCCCAACACCCTCAGGGATCATGACCCAGTTGAAGACCACTGCTTTTAAGTAATACAGTACCCACCAAGTATTAAAGCAAAATGTCTGCCATCTGTTTACCTCCTTTGAGGTTAAGAATAACCGTGTAACTCATCTTTATTTTCAACTAAAAATTAAAATAACCATTCTTAGGATAATTATAAAAAGACATAAACTTTTTGTGAATGTTATATAATCCAGTTTATACATACAGATCATAGATTTGTTTAAAATACATTCTAATGGATCTCCACGTATTCATTTAAGTTAAAATTATTTAGCTAGAAAAATTATAATGAATGTAATGAAATACTTTATTTGCATAATTAATATGTGGCACCTTGTCTACACTTTAGTCAAAAGTCTTGTGTGTGTGTGTATGTGTGTGTGTACATATATATGTGTATGTGTATATATATATATGTATGTGTGTGTATGTGTGCATGTGTGTATATATACATACATATATGTGTGTATGTGCATATATATGTGCATATGTGTGTATATAAGCTGCTGGATTCATGTCAGAGATGAGATGTATTGTCTATACAGTTATATCAAGACATCACGCTCTCATAGTCTAGAAAAGTTCACTTCATTGTGTACATCGCTCTATGAAGACTGTTTACCATCTCTCCTTTATGTTAAGAAAATTAATATCAGCTCACTTTTGATACTAAAGGAGTGTCAGTGGTGGCGCATGTACTTAGTGGGCTTTCTGCAAGTACTGGTGTGGGATAGCCAGCAGTCTGGGGAGCTTTCAGACTGAACACAGTAGCCAGGGAACAGTAATTTGTCATTCTCAGTTCTTTTTATAACTTCACAGACAGGAATGGGTTCTGCTTCCTTTCACAAAAGAGCCTCGGTTATCATTTCTTAACATGGCCTTATGAATAAATTATCTTTAACTTAACCTAGGACAAAACTTTAAAACGTCTAGCACAGTATCCATCCCTGCCTTTTTGAGCTTTGTGATATGTATTCAGTAGTAGTTCTTGATAATTTGTTAACAAGGCGTTTTGAACCTTTTGGACAGATGCACATACTGTTTTCAGTCTTCACGGTTAATAATTCGATTTTGTATCTGATGCCAGAACACCCTGACTCTTAATCACTGCTCATTGTTGCTGGCCTATTATAGTCTAACTGTTTGAGTGCCCCCATTGACCTTGAACTGACATTATAAGCTGTGTCTAATCTTTTCAGTCTATATTTCTAATGCTTCTTTTCTTTTTCCTTTTTTCCTGCTCCCTGTTTAGCATCACAATGGGGCTGCCTCTGAGCCCTGCAGCTGACTCTGCCCGCTCCGCAAGGCACGCCCTTTCTCTCATTGCCACCGCCAGACCACCCGCCTTCATCACCACCATAGCCAAGGAGGTGGGCAGCCTTCATCACGTGCTCCATTGCCCCTTTCAGAGGAGTCCCTCCATACTGTAACTCTGGGGTAGACCAGTAAAGAATCCTTGTAGTTCAGGCAAAGCAAGTTAATAGTTTACCACTGAAATGAATGTATCTTGTATGCACACACACTGAGTTCTGCAACTGTGGAATTGTGCTTCTGTGCTCCTCTCTGTTCTCAGAATGAACACACTTGTAATATTTAAAATACCTTTCAATATGAAATACAATAGTCTATGAGAATTAGAAGGTACTAAAGGTATTCACATTCCTCAAGTGTAGAGCAAATACTTGTAATTAAACCTAAACTTTTATTTTGCAGTGACTCTCAAACTGTATGCAAAAAAATATAAGCCATAAGATCAGTGATTGGTTTTCCTATTCTTCGTCACACATGAAGACTGGAGAGTCCATTGATTCCTGTACTTCTGGTGTTCTAATTAATTGCCCAAAGCCAGCTGACAAACTAGTAAAGAACAATGAACCAATTCTATGTTCTTTCCTATACATCTTAGCGAGAGAAGGGAAAGCATAATTTTCTAATGCTTGGAAAGGTGTGTTCCCTTTTGGCATTATTACTGCACAGCTCGGTGGCCACACGGTATGGACTCTGTCTGAACTGCTTTCCGGTAGCTGTGGTGAACTTTTAAAACAGTAAATGTCATTGAGTCTGCTTGGATAGCCTGGAACCTACAGGGCCCATGTCTGGCCGAGAGCCATCTTTACAGGCATGCTGGGAAAACAGTTAGGAGACGAGATGGTCCTGTCTGCATGGAGTCTGTATGGTCGAGGAGAACATACAAACATACAAAGTGGAGTTAGGAATTCATATCTAAAGGAAAGCTGTGAGCGCAGGTGTGAGGGTAGTAAGCTTCCACCGTGTTTCAATCACACGCGTGCACACACACTTAATGTTGTATACATGTATCAAATGTGTGTGTTGTTTGAATGAGTAGTTTTATTTAACTTAGAAATTTCTAATCAGTTTTCTCCATGCATGGGATGTGTACAGGGGATCATACTGGTTACCTCGGGAGCTTTATATTACTCTGATAGGTCTTTATAGGAATTATATTTCAGAACACTATTTTGCATTATTTACTCAAGAATATTTTTGAATGAAATATTAGGATACTCATACTGAGACATTTGGTTGGAAAGATCATTTAAAATATTTTAATTAATAGTCTACATTTATTTCTTTTCAAAACAACTTTGCTGGTGCTACTTTTCATCCTGGTTTATTCAAGAAAGGCACTAAGGTGTTCCTCTATGTCACCATTGCACATGACTCTGTTCCTGGGCCTACGGCTCCACAGTGCATCCAGGACTTGTCCAAGGCTCTAAATATTTTTGTCTCCTTTAAGCTGTAGAGTTTATGCTTTGTATGAGAAAAAGAATCCCAGTGAATTTCTGTTATTTGCTATGTTCATTAGTTTTGGAGGCATGTTAACTTAAACTTCCCAACTTACTTGTAAAGTGCCTAGAACAGTTATCACCATGTAAGTATCATTCGTTATTATTCCCAGGCATAATAGGTCATATCAGATGCTTCCTGGGCGTTTTCTAAAAGTACCTTTACAGCAAATTACCGAACTGTTCTTCAATTTATTTTGCAAATGTCATGATAGCCTATGGCCACATCTCACTAAACATATCCACCCAACATCTAAAATATCATAGTAATACTGTGCTAAGGTCAACACTCAGGAACTCGCTGGGCATGGTATTGTATGTCTGAAATCCCAATGTGTGGCAAATAAGATGGTGGCAGGTGAAACAGTTCAAAATCATCTTTGGCTATGTATTAAGGCCAGCTACATAAGATTCTGTCTCAAAATGATGATGATGATGGTGATTGTGATGATGATGATGGTGATGATGGATAGCAAAGTCGTAGGATTTTATTAGCCCATACTTAGTTCTTCTTGTACATGATGCTTCTCTGTGACTGAAAACAATTCCTGCCCTTCCCTGGGTGATTTGTTTTGACAGTTCTGTTTGATTGTATGCTTCACTTCTCTATTGCAAGTGAAAAGTCAACCAGTGAGTAGAAATATAAACCTGTGTGGAGCAGCAATGGCCTCTACAGTATGGCAATTCTTTTGTAGGTACACAGACACACGGCCCTTGCAGCAAATACCCAGTCACAGCAGAGCATACACACCACCACCCTGGCGAGGGCTAAAGGCGAAATCCTCAGAGTCATTGAAATTCTCATTGAAAAGATGCCTACGGATGTTGTGGATCTTCTTGTCGAGGTGAGAATGTCCTGCATCCAGTATCCCGTCCATGCAGTAAATACTTGAGGTTACAAATAGGAGGAAGGGAGGAACGGAGGGAGGAAGGGACAGGGAATGTGTCACATAACTAAGATTAATTGACTCCCGTGCCTTAATTCCGTTTCCTCAAAACTAAAGTTGATCGCTGTAGCCATTGTCCATCTACATGGAGTTGCTATGTGTGAGAACACTTTCAAGGCTTTGTTGTCAACGGTCATGGTAAACAAAGCCACTTCCACCATGTGCTTGGGGAGCCACCCTACTCTTCGAGTGAGCAGTCAGCTCTAAAGGAAATGACTGTCTGCTACTGCAGACAAGACCAAGGATTCACTGTAATATCCATAGGCTTAAAATAGCTTTTATTCTGTTTAAAGTAAATATGTGATCAAACTATATGGATTTACACAGAAAAAAAATGAGATCTAATGGAATCATTTACATTTTAGAAAACCAAGCATTTGAAATTAACTTTCAATCTGTGTCTTTTTGCCAAAGGTTATGGACATCATCATGTACTGCCTTGAAGGATCGTTAGTTAAAAAGAAGGGTCTTCAGGAATGTTTCCCAGCTATCTGCAGGTAAAGAGGCCTTCAGCAGCATGCAAAATAATTGATTTCCAGTAACAAATATTTTAAAGATTTAGTGAGGCTAAATGAGATAACCAGGTATTAACCATTACTTGCTTCCTTTCTGGAATAATCCTGACAGTTTGTGATAAGAACACAGATTAGAACTAGTTATTTAATCAGTTAACAGGGACATTTTGATCATGGCTCAAAAGTGAATTGTACATGTCTGTTCCCACAGTCTACTCAAATTGTTACTTGTCTTACAAAACACTTAGACACTTCTGACTTGGGAAAAAATATGCTTCCCAGCAACAGAAATCAGCAGGTCTCCTTTTCACTCACTGGTAAATTTTATTTCGAGAATAATGTATTTACATAATTTCCTATTAATATAAGGATTTCTCCTGTAAAATTAACAGGAAAAGAAGAGCAGAAAGCTAGCCCTTTGCAAATGGCACTGAATATGTGAGATAGAACTTAGGACTGCTCTGTGTAACATATACATTTATTTAAACAAATACATGAAGATTGTTTTGCATCAAAATACAGTTCATTGTGGTTTGTTTGTTTGTCTTTTTAAATTGGATTTTTGGGTAGAAGTGCTTGTTCTATGAGATTGACAGTCTGAGTCTGATCCCTGCAAGTGACATGGTGAAGTGAGAGAGCTGATCCTGCAAACTCTTCTCTGACTTACAAATGCAGGCATACATGCATACATACATACATACATACATACATACATACATACATGCATACATACATACACACACACACATCATCATCATCTTCCACAAAGTAAATTCTGAATTGGTTCTAAAGTTTTCTTGCTTTTATGTAGTCTGTAGAAATAGTACTCAAATCAGTCATAGGTAAGTTTTCTCAGAGCTCTTAGTTACTCAAAGTTAGATGTGATTCTTGTGTTTGTAAGACGAGCTCAGTGACAGCCATCTTTCCTTTGCTTATCTGTGCAGATTCAGTGTGGTGTAAACTGTAGTCGGCAGTAAGATTCCTAAGAAGAGTGGCGTAGCAATGTGCCCTTCATCCTGTCATTTCCTAACGTCTCTGCCACTGCTTTGTTGACTGGCTTATCTCTGTTTATCTTCTATATTGTTTGCTATATGCAGTAGAACTTACATACTATTCTGTCATTTATCAATTTGACTTTGCCACCGAGATGTTAAATTGTGAGCACAGATAAAGTCATGCCATGTAACATACATGTCAAGATGGTATGGACAGGTGCGTTTTCTTCTTGATACACACCAGGCAAATTAGAATACAGTCATTTTTTTTACATTGCATTTTCTGTGCCAGTAACTGATCATGACTGCGTATAGTATAGTTGCCGTTTTCCCAGATGATTCCTCTCTAAAGAAAATGGACGGCACTGGTCTGTTGCCAAGTGGAGATGACAAGGGGCTGAGGTGGGACTTACTTGACTGAGTGCTAATGGTGTTGGCAAGGCAGGAACCACTGTTGTGTAAATTAGCTTCCTGGAGCTCATGTGCATAACCTGTTTACTAAGGGGTCTGTTTTCCAGCTTTGCCCAAAGCCCCCTCCACAAGCAGCTCCTCAGGTCCCTAAACTCTGCAGACATCCATGACCCTTTGACTAAGTTACCCTGGAAAGGGAGAGTTGTGCTGGACACCTAGCAGATTTGTCTTTGCTGAACACTACATATACATATTTCCCCCTCTGACTTGGCAAAAACCAACTGTACATTGTTTATTGATCTAGTAGTAGTTTATTGAGCACCAACTGTGTATTCTCTTGGGAAGGAATGGTAGATTAGGCATCTCTGTGCTCCAGGATCACAATGGCTAATGGGGAAGAGATTGCATTGGTTCACTGGGCTATGGAGCGTGCCTGGTAGACTACCTACCAGAGACTGAGCTGGGCAATAAATATAATGCTCAATTCAGTGTGTGGAATCAGAATTTGTAAGTACAGTGTAGAGGATAATAGTTTTCTTTTACAAATGCCTTCACAAAAATGGCTGCCAGGTAGCGAGAGGGATTTGTCCTCTGAGACAACTCCAGTGACGCTGTAGGCTATAAAAGCAGAGGTGAGTCATAGATGCTGCAGAGAGCTGGGCAGGTGAGCTTTGTGAAATGAGGGAGTGAACCAGGCCACTGTGTTTGGAGCCACACAAGTGGCCCGTGAGTTTGGCTGTGCTGTGTAGTGGGTGTCTAGAATGGAGGCTTCTCACAGGTGTATAGAGCCAAGCCAGGGTTTCAGTCCCCACAGAACAGTCTCTCCTTTATTTAATAAGCAATGGAGAGTTAGAAAAGTTTAAGCAAAATATTCAATGTATAATCATAGATAAGACATAAAATGTCACTGTAAATTCAGTACTTACTTGCTTTAGCAAAATCAAAAATGATTTTAGAGGAGTTAAAAGTTTATGTTTTCAGAAGTGAGTTAGCTTTTCTTTAACTATGTTATTATGTAGACAGACTGATTGATTTTCCTTTTCAAGTAAAAAGCCCACTCAGCTCATTTCACCTTAAATGGGCACTTAAACTCTAGTAAGGGATGGCACACTGTCTGCTGCAGAGCACGTCCTGAGCTTCACCTCAAGTGACTCCTCCAAACGCCTGGTCAGTGAGAACAGGGACAGATCGTAGAAGAGCTTCTACTGTAGCCTCCCTTAAATTAGTAACTATTTTAAATGAGTATTTGGTACTCATACCCTCACCAGGAGGAATCCTTCTCATTATTTTATTCCTATTCCGCATATCTAAAGATCTCCCCAGGAGGTTGGCTTACAGTATTAAAAGTCTCCATGTTAAAATAAACCAAAATATGACTTGGGGTATTATCGAGTAAATTGATACATATATAACTCTAGACCTCTTATCTATATTCCATTATACAATAAGAAAAACAGTTAACTTGAAGGCTGTTTAAAATAATATAAAGAATGCGAGTGTAAGCTGTGTGTAGTGGCCCACACCTGTAATCCAAGCACTGAGAAGTAGAGAGATAAAAATGAGGACTCCAGCCCATCCTTGGCTGCTGAATGGGTTCTGAGCCAGCCTGGGCTACATGAGACCATCTCTCAAAAAAAAAAATACACACACACACACACACACACACACACACACACACACACACACATATATATCAAAACAGTAAAACAAGAACCAAAATTTGCTTTATTTGAATTGGCAGATTTTTCAGAAAAACTAAAATAATTTGTAGTTAATATAAGTTTATACTTGTAGCCAGGTGTGTTTGCACATCCCTTTAGTCCCAGCGTTTGAGAGGCAGAGGCAGGGGAACCTCTGAGTTCAGAGCCAGCCTGGTCTACAGAGTAAGTTTCAGGACAGCCAGGGCTACACAGAGAAACCCTGTCTTGGGGAAGAGGAGGAAATACACTTGTAAAGAATAAGTCTTTAAATAGATGTAAATGTGAACTGTTTGAGCATTCACTTCCCCTGTTTATTAGGATGACGTTAGTCACCACTTGTTGCCATACCTACTAACCTTGTCAGTTACCATGACTAAACTGATGATGATGATGACAATGATGACGATGACGATGAAGATGATGTCTTGTAACAAGGCTAACATGTATTTGGCATGGAAAGAGTTTACCAAGTGCCTAATGCTCTGCTAAGAACTTTACTAATATTAACTCATTTCTGTTTCTTACAGCTATAGTAAGTATTCCCATCTTGTAGATGAAAACCTGATAGATAGATAATTTAAGCAACTTGCCATGGTTACACTATTAGTAAGTATAGAACCAGACAGTGAGGTTCCCATTTCTCTCCTAATAACATGTGTCAGCACCGAGCCATGCTTAGTTTTCTTGTGAAGTAGTTGTTTGTGCAAAGCCTCACAAGCATTTCTAGTCCTTTCTTTACCACCCTAGCCAGAGTATGCTATAGTTGGTTCCTCTCTACAGAAGGAGCATAATTTTCTCATTAGCCATTCAGCAGGAAGTATTTATTAACTACTTAAGTGTGTAAGACTCTGACTGGGAAATAGTGACTTCCAGTAGAATTCTCCAGTGTCACCATCACAGACTACATCCTCTCTTTTAAAATTAAGCACTTCTAGAAAATGGATACTCATGTATATCCAAAACCTTACACCTCAGCCCCAGTGAACAGTGCCTTCACTATGGCCATTTTCCATGCTTATAAAGTTCACAAACATGTGTACAGCTCGGATGGCTAGAATTCCTAGGATCAGGCATAAAAATGGTCTATGAGGACCCGGGCAAAATGTCCTTCATTGCAGCTGTGGCATCTCTGTGACTGGTGCCTTGCATGAATCTTTCAGGGTTGAGGACTCCTACAGTGCATGGCTCTCAGAAGAGCTCCATTCAGCTTAGAGGCATGAGTAGGCTTGTCACTTGTCCTTTCCTGTGGTGAGAGTGACCCAGCCTTGCTCCACTGCACAAATCCTGTCACTGTTTTCTGCAGACTCAGTACCTGTAGGGTGTGATCACTGAGAACACATAAGTGTCACAGGCCTAGTCACTGCAGAGGAGCCATGGGACGCAGTATCTGTTGGTGACATTTTAAGGGGGGGTTCCTTACATTATTAATAAAGCATGCACATACTTATCCTGCAGAGTATAAACATGTGGATCCATCTCAAAAATTACATGCAAGTTAGAACAGAAGTGCAGGACCATCTATTTTCCTTCCTGATGGCAAGATAATGTAAGAAATTTGATAGTGCCAAATGTGGGTAGGTGACATATTGTGTTTTAGGAACTTGGCATTGCCTGTCTAAACCTTAACTGTGCATAATATTTGATCCTACCTTAATGAATCTGTCCAACAAAAAGATTCACCCAGGTTTACAAAGATCTATGACATGATAGAGCCCTAGTCTATCAGAGAAAAGATTGAATAGTTGAAGGCACACTCTGAATGCAGTGAGGTCACTTGGGAGCATGCACACTGATAGAGGAGGATATCCCCTACAGCACTGATAGAGGAGGATATCCCTCCAGCACAGAGGGAGACACTGCCCTGCAGAACAGTATGTATGATGCTGTTGTGTTAAAGGTGCAAAACTCTCAGGGAAGAATCTATAAATAATTACCAGAGATTACTCTTAAGTTGGTGGGTATGAGAAGAAAGATCTACTTCATTTTTTAAATTATAATTTCAATTTGTATTTATAGAGTATGATAATCCATGTCTATAATATATAATGATCAACTTAAGGTAGCTAACATTTTTATCTCCTTAAACATTTTTTAAACTTTTGATTAAAGCATAGTAATTTTTAATATCTGTGCAGTAAAATGTGACATTTAAATTTTATTCTTTTCAAACCAGGAAGTGTTTCTGTCTTTCTGTCATTGCTTCATGTTGGTAGCCTTTGAGTCATCCTCTTCTTATTATTCATAAAGTATATAATGGTTTACTGTGAACTGCAGACACCCCAATGTACCATTATGTTGTACAACACTAGAACCATTTCTAAATACCTGCAGTTCGGTGGCTATTATGTAAGTCTCCCAGTCACTATCGGTGTAGGAGTGGGAAAAGTGAGCTGAGCAGTAACCATGCACTTAGTCACCACTCTGCTCTGGACTGTGGGTGTGATGGAACTAGCTCTTTTTAAGTTGCTGCCATGGACTGTAACCTGGAATTGTGGGCCACAGTGAACCCTTTTCCTCCAAAGTGCTTTTTGTTGGGTTACTTGTTCACAGCAACACAAATGAAACTAGGACCCTGGGAATAGTAACAAAAGGTTTGTTCCAGGTTAGTGATTGCCACCTCAATGTCTTATTACCATCTCAGTGACCTGAACACTGAGATACCAAAGGCCTAGAGAAACCTAAGACTTTTCATTGAGGGAAGATGAGAACAATATTAAGAATTGTACTGGACTCCTGCCCCAACCCTTTAATTCCATCAGAGGTTGGAACAAAGGATACTTACTTCACCATCCTTAGAACTAACAGTGCTCACATGCAGAACTCTCCCCAGAAGTAAGTAGTCTAGGGACATGGGTGGCCCCAGAGACCTCAACAGTGCTTGGCTTCCTGCAGCAACACCAAAGTGCACAGTCAGTGTGTGTGTCTCTCTCTCTCTCTCTCTCTCTCTCTCTCCCTCTCTCTCTCTCTCTCTCTCTCTCTCTAACACACACACACACACACAAAGAGAGAGAGACCAACAGACATAGATATATAAATAAAAGATTTATTATTATTACAAGAACTAAGAAAGAAATTAGAAATTTTAATACAAAACCCTTAAGCCAAAACCAGGGCATGAGACTGTCACTGCCCAGAAATCTTTAAAGTATTTTTCAGAAATGTTAGTTAAGTAGTAAGTTACAAAGAATGAAAAATGCTAGAACTGTAACAGATGGTCCTTTCAGGCAGACCAAAGATTTTTATACCAAGAATAGATTTAATCTTTTTTTATCCCATAAATAATGCTGTTTGTAGAAAGAGGAGGTTGAAATCCAAAGCATGAAGAATAGATAAAGCAACAAAAACCTTTAAAGATACTGTCATCAGAAATGAGTTGTTTTGTTTTGTTTTGAAAAATGTTATTTTGAAGGTGATAATATTATTGTGCAGTAGGATTTTGATAGTATAAGCTATTAAATTTTTGCAATGATGGCACTGCAAATTTTATTTCTCTATAGTTACTAACTACAAAGAATAAATGTTAAGATGTGTGAAGTATTAAGTTTTTGTTACTGTAGTAGGATGTAAATTACATGAGTCTATATGTGCAGAGATGGATGCCGATAGTAACAGATACAGATATGAGCGCGCCCAGTACTCAGACTGATATAATTACTAATATTAAAACAGCAACTGTTTTAAGACTCCTCAAAAACATTAAATTTTCATATTTAAGAACATTAGATTTTGAATGCAGAGTCCCATTTATTATTGAAATCTAATATACTACTTTCTGTGGACAATATAGCAAAACATTTGCAAGTAGTGTCTGCCTTCCATGTTACTGAAAATGAAGCCCTGGCCTTCCATAAATCTCAAGTTGATGATAGATGAGGCTCGGATAAGACAAAACATCTCAGAATCTATAACTTTTTAATAAGTAGCAGACAAAAATTTTAAAGCATAGTAGTTTTCTAGATTTTTAATATATGTCTGGCTGTCATACGACTGCCAAGGCAAAACTGGCTGTCAGGATGCCACTGCTGCTAACATTCAGGTTTGTGTCCCTTGGCTTCTCTTCCTAGAATTACAGAATTGTCCTGTAGCTTACTTCAAGAATGCATTGGAGTATTCTTCCTGTTTTATCTCCCTTGAAAAAGAGAAAAAATGCCTTAGGGTTTCTGTTGCTGTGACCAAAGGCAACCTGGGGAAGGAAGGATTTACTTCAGCTTAGAGCTTACATCACCACCAAGAGGTGCTGCGTACTGGCTTGACCTCCATGGCTTACTTAGCTTGCTTTCTTTCTTATACAACCTAGGACTACCTGCGTAGGGGTGTTAACACGGGCAGTGGGCCTGGTTTCATCTCCATGGCTTACTTGGCCTGCTTTCCTGTACAACTTCAGACCACCTGCATAGGGGTGTTACTGCCTGCAATGGGCCAGGCCCTCCTGTATCAATCATTAATCCAGAAAATACCTCAATTGAAATCCAATGGAGGCAATTTCTCAACTGGGATTCTCTTTTCCAAGTTGACTCTAGTTTGTATGTATAAAGCTGACAAAAAAACTAACCAGCACTAGAAAGTTTATTGCATTTTATTCTATATTAAAAGGGCCTTCGTTTTCTCAGCCTCTGTTCCTATACAACTCAGGATCACCTGCTGAAGGGTAGTACCACCCACAACGGCCTAGGCCTTTCCATGTGAAGAAAGCACTCCTCGGACTTGCCTACAGGCCAGTTTTATGCCGCCATTTCCTCGGCTGAGAGTCCTTTATGTAAAGTAATTCTAGTTGATATAAAACCAAAGAACACAATAAAACTTATGGAACAAAGGAAAGCACAGCAAATAATGTAATTGGGAAAGATGTCTTCAAATACGATATTTAGTGTAGCCCCCTTCACTTGAATAGCTCATGGAGACCATGTGAAAGTATATTTAAAAGTCCTTGTGAACGTAAAATTATTCCTGATTTATCTGATTTCTAGTACTGTTTTCACGTATAGATCCCAGATGTATGGACTTGAGATGATTATGTCAAAGCCTAGATCAGAAATTCAAGTACTTAATCTACTCCCAAAATCTAATCTAGAAAGTAGTAATAATAAGCCAACCTCTCACAACCTCTTACTGCCTGTCACCTCAGTTATGTAGCCAAATTAGTAAATTTAGTAAATGTGGAAGACCTTGGACATTTTCACGATACTTTTTTTCTGATGAGTAGCTTTCTAATGTCATTAGAATTTAGGAGACATGCTATTTATGTAGCCTTTTGTTATTGTTCTGTGAGAATGTATATTTCACTACTTAAGTAATACGAGAACATAACTGAATATGGGAGCCTCTCAAAATCCTCATTTCTGCTCAAATAGAAGTGTCTGCGTAAGTTGTCAGAGAACTGCATTTTCACATTTTTTTCTTTGCCTTTGAACCTTTGTACCTCAAACTTTCAAGTGTATTTATTATAAAGATATTTCCTATTGAAAATAATTTTTAAAAACACGGTCTTAATCTGTCGGTAGTCCTTGCTGTCCTGGAACTTACAGTGTGGTCCACACTGGCCCACAATCACCTCTGTGCTCTTGCCTCTGCCTTCCATGTGCTGGGTTTGTAGATATGACCCGGCAGCAGGCTTCCTGACAGTTCATTAGCAGGCCAAAGATAGTCCACATCAATTCCATTTCAGATGATTTTTCAAAAGTATTCAGTACTGAAGGGAAACATTTTTTTTAATCCATAAGTTGGTTACAGATGTATTTCTTAGAAATAATTGAGATATAAAGGGATTAAAGCTTTTACCTACATGTACATACATACATACATGTGTACATATATTTTGTGTGTGTATGTGTGTGTATGCATGTGTGCATGTATGCACATTAGCTTTAATCTTTGAGAATATTGGTTTTATTTTAAATATGAAGGCAATCTCACCTGGCTTTTGTTTTTGTTGTCATTGTGAAATGTTCAATTCAGGTTCTACATGGTCAGCTATTATGAGCGGAGTCACAGAATTGCAGTTGGAGCACGCCATGGCTCAGTAGCCCTGTATGACATCCGGACTGGAAAATGTCAGGTAAATAAATCATCGTGACTTCTTCTGCATGAAGCTATTGAAGGGAGTGAGAGACTAGCCCTTCACCAGGTGACAGACCGGGCTGCTGGAACATTATGGATAATGTGTAAGAGATCGATAGTTTAATGAAGGACTCAAAGAATATAGAGCCCCGCCGTCTCTATTTCCTAAGATTGAGGCTGCCATGGTTCGCAGAGGAGCAGAGAGAGGAGGCATGATTGATTTTACAGTATGTCTCTTCTTTGTTCAGTGTTGTCTGGTTTTCCTATTTCTGACATGCTTCCTAAAGAAAGCTGGATGCTACGTGTGAGGAAGTGGTGACAGAGCAGAAATGGTGAGAAGGACGGGACAGTGAGCAATGACGAGGCAGTAACCTAGTCGGAGTCCATACAACCAATCACAGGAGCATTTAACACAACTCTGTAGAACTGGTGTTGGCTCACAATAATAGTGTGTCACTTTTTAGACTTTATACTGCATTTTATGATTTTATGACATTTTATTGTTCATGAATTATTTTGACTTTGATCTTGTTTATCTGATTTTCAAAATATACCCGGTGGATAGATGGGGTAAGTATATTCCCATTTGAGATAGAAAAGGAATTGAAGCTCAGTATTTTAAATCACCGTTTTCTAGAGTCACACCATTAGCTGACAGCAAAGCCAGGGTTAAATTCTACCAAAGACCTATAAAATCTTGATGCTCCTTGACCACAAAGTGCCAAGTCATACCCTCTCCTGTTTCAGTGCAACATTTAGTACTGAAGAGTTCTTACAGTGTAGACAGGAAATACAAGAAATCCGTAAGGATGTTGAAGACTTTAGTTTATTTCTCTATCGTAATAAGCTGCTAACCTAATGCCCTCTTCAAAGCTTCCTTGATAATTTGTCATGAAATAGTTGTAAGGCCTCATAATACGGGCTAGGGGTAAAAGATTCCGGTTTCAGACATTTTTAAAGGATGCTGTTTTGAGTATTAAGTGCATTTCTCTGAGGGCACTTCTGAGAGTACACTGCACATAGAATGTGCAGCACTGGAATATTTGTTTACTTTCTAATTGGTGTGGTTCCTTCTCCAGCTCACTCTGGTCTATATCACTTGCCTCTTGGATCTTATTGAAATCAGTGAAAAATACTCTGAAGCTTGTTTTTTGTTCTTGATATAATTCTTTTGAAAAGGATAACTTCAAACAGCATTTCCAAAATACCCCATTTTAAACCTTTACTTGTTTTGTATGAGGGCAGGACACAGCATATGTGTGAAGATCAGAGGAAACTTTGAGGGAGACAGTTCTCTGTTTCTACCATTTATACTCTGAGGATCAAACTTAGGATGTCAGGTTTTATTCCCCCACCCTACCCCTACGCGCGCGCACACACACACACACACACACACAAACACACACATCCAAGCCATGTGCCAGGCCCCAGAATATCTTCTAAGAACTCTCTTATTTGTTTGTTTGCATATTTATTTATTTGAGACCATGTCTCACAATGTATCCCTGGTCTACAACTCACTATTTAGTCCAAGCTGGCCTCAAATGCACAAAGATCCAGTTGCCTCTGCCTCCTGAGTAATGGGATTGAAGGCATGTGTTATCATGCCAGGTTTCTATTTAATTTATTTTGAATATACCTAAATATATAACTTTACATATCAGTGAGATGCCATGTCATATTTTGATGCATGTATACATTGTATAATATTTAAATCAAGTCAAATATCTCTGTATCTTCAAAAGTTGGTCATTTCTTTATGATGAGAACATTCAAAATCTAGTAGCCCTTTAAAGTGTATGTTACATTGTTCTGTAGTTAACACAACTATGCAGAGCACAGCAGAGCATTTCACTTCTTTATAACTTAGATAGCACTGACCAACCTTTTCTATCCCGACCCCCACATCCTGTGTCTCTGATAACCACGAGCAGTTTTGAAACAGTTTCTTCATTCTTTGGAGTATGTTACTAAATAGCAAATTTGAAAGAAGTACAAACATTTCCAGGGTTAAAAGAAGAAACCGTTTGTTTGCTAGAGAGGTAGTGTAGTGAGAGTATATTCTGAAACCACACTGCCTGGACTTAGTGTTAGAAGGACTAGAATATATTCATGTATATGTAATAAGCGTGAGCCATGATTATTACCTAACTGTACATTGCTTTAAATAGGACAAAGTCAGTCAGCTCCCCCCGCCCCCGCTGCCATGGTACCGGCTAGATTTGGTGTAACTTTGTCCTCATGACTTTCCTGATGATCTCTATCCTCACATTATTTCACTTAACCCTTTAAGTATAATAAACATAGTACCAACCAAATAGCAAAATTCAAGCTACCCACCCTGTTGACCTATTCTTGCTCATCTCTGCTTAATACGTTTTTCAGTCTGTCCTCTTTTTTTCTGTAACATTCTGGAATCTTATTGATAAATTTTGTTTGGCAACTTTTAAAAACTGATATACTATTAACTGTATACTATATACTATTAGAATATTTTTGAGTAAAGTTAGTTAAAACTTCATGGTAGACCCTTTTCAAACAGTTTTAGGTTTGTGGCAAAATTGAATGGCGGATGCAGGTGTCGTATATGCACTGCACTCACATATGGATGAGCTCCCTCTGAGCCATCTCCTCCACTGCAGTGGTACCCTGGCATTGTGGCTGCAGATGCTAGAACACGTTGGTAGTAGATGCAAAAGGCAATGCATGCACACTCACTACCGTGAACACAGATGTGAAAGCTGGATGCAACACGAATCTCACAGATGGCCAGATGACTGGGGCTTTGACTCCATCTTCATAATAGAGAAAGAAGTGGGAGGCTAAACAGGAGGGATTGATTGGTGAGGAGAGGATGATCCTGGAGAGCGGCCAACAGTCACGGGCAGTATTCCTCTGACTCCAATGCAGTGCTGATGCTCCCTGTCTCCTGTAACACAGGCTAGGTCTCCCTTGGGTTGTGAGGCTATAAACTTTGAACATATGTATTCTCTGAAGGCCTGGATGTTTGGGGAGATGAGAGAACTTCTAGAAAAGCCCTTCTCTGAAATTGCTACATCTCCCTTTCTTTTTAATCTACATCCCAAGAAGCATGTGTGTGGGGAGGGGGCATCTTTTCTAAGCCCCAACAATTATAACTGATAAAGCTATGCTTTACTTTTTCACACAGCCAACAGTTTGCATTGGGGTCCTCTCCTGTTGTTCTGTATTGATGAATTTGAACAAATGCACCACTGAATATTTTTACCACTATTCTGACATACAAAGGAGTTTCACTGCCCTAAAAATCATCCATCTGTATAACATTTTAGGCATAGTTTCTTATTTCTAGTAACCATTCCTGGATTACATGGCTACATCATAAGATTTGTGCATTTTGTTAACCAGACGATCTGAAACTGTCTCCCCACACATGTATATGAGCACTAACTCCCTGAGCCTTTCTGTAAGAGGCCTGGCAGAAATGACGATTTTCTACAGAGACACCTGTGTCTCTCAAAAGGGCAATCAGACTGTGGGAACAGTGAACCCCACAGAAATGGGAATTTCTCCAGGAATCTCATGCCTGGAGAAGGAAAGTGTGTCCGCCAGAAGGGAACTTCTCTTCTGCAAAGAGATTCTCCTGCAGGTATTTCTCACAGCTTGTCAGACAATCTCACAGGGTGATGCTGACCCCAGATGATGATGGGTCAGTGTGGGTGGGTGTGGCCACACCTTGACCAGAATGTGTGGCCCTCTGCTTAAACTTTGATCTCAGTTCAGGACCTTCAAGAGATCTGAAGGGTTCTCTGGGTCACTTTGTACCTCTTCCCAGTATGCCCACGTTGAACAAGTCTCTGTTCTCTGGTTTGCACTATTAATTTGGCTCTTTATTAGCATATTAAGAACTGGTAGTTGAACCTGACTTGGTGCACAGGTTGTGAGCCAAGTCTCACAACATTTTTATGAATTACAGACTTTTAAGCACATAAATTCTCATTAAAAATGAAACTTTGCCTTTGGCCTGACTTTCTTTTAATGTGTTTGGTATGTTGAAAGCTAGGGAAACACAGGGAGGCCAGAAGACATTTGTGTTAATAATTGGCCCTTTCCTTCCACCATGTATTGAAGCAGTCTCTCCTGTTGTTCCTGCTGCTGTGCCACACACTGAGTCAAGCTGGCCATGAGATGCTGCTTTCTCCTCTCTCCACCTCACATATTGCTGGAGGAGTGTGGAGACTGCAGAGATGTGCCACTTCACCTGGCTTCTCTATGTGAGTTCTGGCGTCCAGCTCAGTGTCATCAGGCTTGTGTGGTAAACCTTTTTATCCAGAGTCGTCTCCCTGATTCCACAATCGGACTGTTTTGCTTCCTGTGTTTTGTCATCTCAGATAATAGACTATTTATTCATCAATTTATAATTTATCATTTGTTCTGTTTGTTTTTAAAAATTAAAATAGCTCGTCACTGTGCTAGACAGCATATTACATGCAAGAGATCACAAAATAAATAAGTATGTCCATCAAGGAACAACTGGTGGCCAAGACAAGCAGACCCATCTAGCAAAAGCATTGTGATCAGCCTTTCAAGAAGGGGAGCCCACAGAGAGTGCAGGAGCACTAACCTGAATTTATGCAGAAATCTTAGGAGAGCTGCTCTGGAAAGGGTACCATAGAGGGAAGAGGTCTGAGTGGAAAGACTGGAACAGCGAGGGCTCAGGAAAAGGAGGAGAGTGACAGCAACATTATTCCAGGCACAAGATAAAATATGTACAAAGCCCAGAAGTCTAGCATGGACAGCAAAGGCGTGCTTATCAGAAAACTTCCATGTGCTGCCCTGCGCACGTGGAAGTGGTCCATGTCACAGCAGTGCTGAGGGTATTGCATGTGTGACAAGAGTTACAACAAGGAGAGACACATCTATGACATATTAGATGATTAATCAGCCCAGCTTTGTTAGTAAGTTTTGTAATGCTAAGTTCCAAGAAGATAACTGACTACTAACATTTTCAATATATAT